GTTGTTGAGAGGATTTATTATTCCTTCAATCATAGCTGTTATAGAAATGGGAAATGAATGGAAAAGGGAAAATGAAAACAGAGAATTTTTTTTTTCAAAAAAATAGAATTCCTCCAACCATTTTATTCTATATATTATTAAACTTTAGGGATACCATTGTTTTTCACTACATGAAATGCAATGCCAGGTTTTGGAAAATAAAATCTCAACCAAAAGGAAATCTTCTAGTATGACTAGTGGCTACCAACCCACCAAACACATCCCCCCATATGTCCTAGTGAGCCCTGCCACCCATACTTTTCTCTTATTTTCAGGGCTTCTTAACCGACAAGAAACAGTAAAAAGGAAAGAGAAACGAAGGTGCTTATTCTAATGACATCCTATAAAACGCCAACAAGTCTTAATTAAATGCATGTGACCAATGAATGTAAGAAAATATGAATTTGAAAGAGTCTTACAGGACCACCAATGTCACATCCCACATGTACATGTACAATGCATTTGGACCTGAGGCAACCTTGTCCCTATCAATGAGAATATGTATTGATAAGCATAAACTATCACTTCACAGAGAACGAAACAATTGAAAAATAAAAATTCAGATGTGGACGTGCAATTCAAAATTTTTAATTTAACAATGTCCTGGAGGGTTACTTGAGTGACCAAAATACAGCAATATGAGACACTTGAACAAGAAGCCTGTGTGGAAAAAGATACTAGAATATGATGATGGGTTTATGTGATTACCTATATAAATATTAGTTCCAAAGACATTCTGTTCCTCCATGGATCTTTTTGTAATTTACCATGGTGTAGTAGAGTCAGATTAGGCTCTTTTGAGTAGGGTGGGCAAAAAAATCCACAACCGACAAAAAAAAAGACTAAAAATCTATGAAACTGTAATTGACGGATAAGATTTGATTGGATTTTGGTTTGTTCGATTAAAAATTAAACCGAACTAATCATAGATGGTTTGAATTTTCATTACTAAATCTAAAAACTCAAAAATGATGACTAGGATGACTATAATTAAAAAATCTAGACCAAAATCTTTTATATAAATTTTTTAATAATTTCAAAAAAAAATTTAAGATTTTCTCATCATTTTTCATTAAATTAGTTATTTATTTAGATAATTTTTAATTTTTTAGTTATTGAAATTAATAAAATAATAAATTCAAAATTCAAAAAATTACTAAAAATATATAAAAATGTTTTCTTAGTTAATACCAAAACTGATCTAAATAGGTTATTCTCAAAAGTATAATCAAAAATCAAAATTGATAAAATCCGTATTTTTTAATTTAATTAATGATTATTAAAATTAAAAACTTAAAACTTTAATTACTCAATAAGAAATGATTTTTATATAATTTTTTTATCTGATTTTTTTATATAACTCGACGTGACATTTAAATAATTAATTTTTTTAATTTTTATGAAACTCATAATATTAAATGTATCTACTTATTTAATAATATATAATAATTATATTAAAATATAATATAAAAAAATTATTTTTATAATACCACTCTTAATCAATAATTCAATTTTTTTTTTTAAAAAAAAGGTAATGGAATAATTCAATTTTGATTATGACAGAAACTGAATGGTACGCATCCCTACTCTTTTAGGACAGGCAGCAGCCAATCCAGCAGCCTAGTTTTTGTCTTTCTTTTTTTTTCTCTCTCTCTTTACCCTTTTGGGGGAAACATTCCTTGGGACCTAAACATAGATCGATGACCTTGAGTTCGAGCTCTTTGCTTCCTGCCAAATATTACGATGATGAAATGATTGGTTGAGCAGGTTCGGTAGATTTAGAGTTGGAGAAATAGTGGCAAGCAAATCATTGTGTTAATTGAAAAGTTTTTAGGGCAGAAGTTATGTTCTCTCCAAGGAGCAAAATAAGTAACTGCTTCTCCAGAAGTTGTTCCACCTCCCAGGAATGATAGAAATGAATGGCCTCTCGAGTCTCCTCACAATCCTTCCAATGATTACGACTGCGACTTCAATTCTGACCAGGTCTTATTCTGCTGGTTGTCATTGTGGTTAGTGGCTATGCCAACATGATGAGGTTTTCATTGGTGATCAATGTTACCAATGTCGAGAATGAAATCTTAGGCTTAAATTTGAGCCACGAAACGTTAGGCCACAAGTTTCTGATTTAGGGACGATTGTCATTTGGTATCATAAAAAGATAAAATAACAAAAATAACAAAAAAAATCTTCTTTTCTTAGATGATTTGAAAATTCAATTAATGCGAACAGAGAATTATTTTAATAGAAACAAGTACATCAAAATTCCATAAGTTGAACAGAACAACTTTTCTTATTCAACATTCTACTCAAATTATTCTAATAGAGAGTTTAATCTTCATTTGACCCTAGAGATTTTCCAGGGTACCCGGGGACTTAGATGGTGGATAAAATTAGCAGAGGTTGTGTTATTTCCATGCTTGCAAGCGGAAAGCATGTGAAAAATATGAACAGAAAGAAACACAATGAATTTATTTCCCTAAGCTGATGCGGTGATTGATTACCAGCTGGAGAATAAAAACACCATGCATGAACTTATACATCTTTTTATGCCTTGTGTAGCTTGCAGCGATAGACTATCTTATCTCTCTAGAAAATGATGGAGGTTTCCCCTTACTAGCAACTAAGGGCTATCATTTCTCAATTCTCATAAAAAATCTAGATGCATAAAAGCCAAGAAGCCTAGAGGAAAACGTTGTTTTAAGAAACAAATTAGAAAAACGGCTGTTGGATTTCGTTTCCCAATCCAACTGATGTAGCGATGTGGTTAATAAGAAAACAAAATCTGGAAAAGTTGATACCGGATTCAAGGAATCATGTCATGTTTGAAATGCTTCTCAGTCAGATGGGCCAATCATTTTCTCAGGCACCACAAGCTTATCAAATTCTTCACTTGTCAGCACTCCAAGTTTCAGTGCAGCTTCCTGCAGAACTCAGTCAGATTTAACATTTCAGCCATCCAGAGTTTGGGATTGAGAAAAACATTAGATTTAATTATAAAAAGAATAATTTTTGTGAATTTAACAATTAAGAGGTTGAACGATTAAATGGTTTCTAAAACCATTTTATTGGATAAAGTGCTGACTGCTAAGGGATTCAAAAATGATACCGCATCAGGGAAGAATAAATAGAAGAAAACACACCTTTAGAGTAGTTCCCTCCTTATGAGCCTTCTTGGCAGCTGCGGCAGCATTATCATAACCGATTTTCTGGAATAAAGAAAAAAAAGGGTAATGAGATCTTAGCAATGGTAACTCTGATAATAAAACTTTGGCAAGAAAACAGGATTGGAAACTCACAGGATTCAAGGATGTCACAAGCATTAGTGACTGCAAAGATCATTCAGGATGTCAAAAAGCAACAACATTGATTCATTAGCTTTGAGATTTATGCAAAATTAATTAGACATTTTAGAATGCAGCATATTCGACTAACCTCATGCAGCAATTTTGAAATTCTTTCTTTATTGGCTCGTATGCCTCTCACACAGTTCTTCTCAAAGGAAGCAGACGCATCTCCTAGCAATCTCAATGACTGATAACAAAGAATCAAACCATCAGTCAGAAAGAAGTGCATACAGTCAACAATGTAGCTAACATGTGTGTCTCAGTGCATGTCTAATATGGCAGCTCTTATGAAGTGTAGAACTATAGAAAGTTTAACACTTAACAATGGGTATCAAACTGATCAGTATTAGAACATACATGCAGGAGAGCATTTGCAATCATTGGCTTGAATACATTCAGTTCAAAGTGCCCATTTGATCCACCCACTGTAATGGCCACATGGTTTCCAATAACCTGAAAAAAATTGAACAAATGAACCATGTTATGATGTTGGCCAAAAGAAAAAAAAAAACATGTTATGATTAAAAGGTTCACAAGTGAAACTGAGTCTATTACTACCACAACAGGTTAAAATGTACAGGGGCATAACTACAAAATTCAGGAGTAGGAATTATAAAAAAAACTGCCAGCAAATGATTTCCAGTTGTTCAACATATAAAGCTGTCTTGAATGGGAGAAAGCATTCCGGCAAATAATAATAAAAGAATGGAGACAAAATAGAGGAAAAAGTTTTACCTGAGCACAGACCATTGTGAGAGCCTCACACTGGGTGGGATTCACTTTCCCCTGCAACAGGATTACATCAGTTAAAACAATAAAATTATATAGGAAGAAAAATCCTCAAAGAGGGAAAAAAAAATGTCTGCAAAAGAAAATTTGAGAAAAAACAGAAGATTTACAGGCATAATACTGCTGCCCGGCTCATTTTCAGGAAGAATTATTTCACCAAGTCCACATCGAGGACCACTGAAGAAGGAAGACAATTAAAGTCATGAAACAAAGTTTTAGAACAATAAAGGAAAAAAAAATGGGTGACAGTCCAAGTAGCAAGCATACCTTCCCAATAAGCGAATGTCATTAGCAATCTTCATGAGAGATGTTGCAACAGTATTAAAGGCTCCACTAGTTTCAACAAAAGCATCATGTGCAGCCTGGACAAGACAAAATATTCAAGAATCAGTTATTATTTTTGCTCTACTAGCCATGAAATATTCCTTCTTGCAACATAAAGAAAGCACGAAACAGAATGGAAGCATAATCGGGGAACTTAGAGATTAACCAATGCTTCAAATTTGTTTTCTGCAGTGATAAATGGCAGGTTAGTTTCCTCGGCAACAGCTGCAGCTATCTTTACATCAAACCTAGACAAAAGACAATACCGTGTATTGTCAAATAAGTAGTCCAACTAAAAAAAAAAAAGGAAACTAGAGATGACTATTAATGATATTTGAGGAATTAATAAAGAACACTTGATGCCCATCATTGGTCATGCATGGACCCTGATAGACAAATAGACTAAAAAGGCAGCATAACCTTCAAATTTATGAGTATTTCTGAACCCCAGACAGACATTTTATTTTCAAGGCCAGAGTTCACAAAAACAAAAGTAATAAACAGTTTTAATTTCTGGAAGTGGGCTGAGATAATATCTTATAGAAATAGCAGTTTATAACATCCATGGATGCAAAACAAAATATATTTCAAGAGTGATTATTTTGAATATAAAATAGTAAAAGATAACATGAAACCTGACATGGAAGGGAAGCATGACCAAAAAATCAGCTTAATAGTGATAACAGATACTGCACATGCGACACAGTAGACTTGACGCAGACAAAACAAAAGAATTAAATGCCTCAAACCCATAGTCGTACATACCCTTTCTTTGTATTTAGTCCTGTTCCTACAGCAGTGCCACCTTGGGCAAGCTGCTCAAATGACATCTCTAATCTGTTAGAAGCGTCGTGAAAGAGATTGAGGGAAGGTTAAAAGGAATAATTTGCATTAAAAATATGATACCGACCTGATACATGTGAGGAAGAGTGCACAACACCCTATCAATCCCGTACTTAACCTAAAAACAAAGCAGAAAAAAGCTAGATATCATCTCACAAGATCTCATGTTTGCCTGTTATTTCATAACCATGCACCTCCTAACCTAAGAGTAAAGAAAAGCAAGAATCACAGAAATGAAAGCTTACTTGTGTGGTATAGCCACCAAACACTTGTCCCAAAGTCAAAGGTGTCGCATCTTGGGTGTGAGTACGTCCAATTTTAACAATGTCTTTGAACTCAACTGACTAGTGGAAACAACACAATCAAAATTTCATCTTCAGTGTAAGTTCGTCCAAATTTAAAATAGACTGGAAAAATGTAAATGCAAACAATGGAGTTGGAAGGCATGAACCAAAAAGTCACAACAAAAATCATTCATGATTCCTAGAGATCAAATATGTAGTTATAACTTTACAAGGCTTAACACAGGGAGAGATGACGTTGAAATACCAGGAGACAAGACAAGAATAACAGAAGAGAGACAATTTTAAGTAAATAAATGAAGAGTTCATGCTTGCATTCAATCACAACTAGCAGGAGTCTAAGAAGATGTAAAATAAAAATGAGAGAATGTGGATCAACAAGGTATGGCAGAGAAATTATTTTCCTGCAGTACAAGCTTAAAGCTGCAATGCATGGATGAAGGCTGCTACACATCAGGATTCAGCCAGGACATAGAAACTGATCCCATTCTAGTAGTTCAAACAATTTAGGATTAAAATATGACATATTGAAAGAATTTGAGAATAATTAAAAAGGCAATATATACGTCTAACATTTCATACACAACAGTAACAAAAAGAAGTATCAAACCTTTGAATGCAATGAAGTATACAAGTTTTTCAAGTTTGGAATTAATCTTGAATTTATTTCCATTGCAGCTGCAATGTGCATTACCTAGAAAAACACAAGAGAAAGATAATGAAACTAGTAAATAGACAGAAAAAGCAAGAAACAAATTGGCTCAACTACAATAACACTAAAAGGTTTAGACAGATGGTTTGACTGTAGAAATTATAATCCAAAAAAGAAAATAAAAGAAGTTAACCAATTAATATGCAAGTCCCACTTACAGTTGGGAATGTATCATTAGAAGATTGAGATCTGTTCACATGGTCATTTGGGTGGACCAATTTTTCCCCACGCTTGTGGCCAAGGATCTCAGCAGCTCTATTAGCAATTACCTGAAACAGACCATAATTGCAAACAAAAGAAAAATCTTAAATTACTATGACATCAAAATGACTTCCATACTTCGGAATAATTTTCTAATCAAGAAAAAAGCAAAATTTGGGGAAAACAGATATTCTTAGGAAAAGGACAGCGATTTATGAATAAACTACTGGATGATACCTAACCAGCAAAAAAACAACTAGGCTTTATATGTAAAATACTAAAATCATACAAATTGAGTTCTTTTGAAAGCTAAAGCCCGCAGATCCTTGAAGCATATTAGTTTAAAACAATACAAGAAAAATAGCCTTTAATCAGAGGAAAACAGCACTGACCTCATTGGCATTCATGTTACTCTGAGTGCCACTTCCAGTTTGCCATACAACAAGGGGAAAGTGATCACTTAGCTTCCCCTCAGCGACTTCTTGTGCTGCTTGCATTATGGCTTTTCCAATGGATGGATCAAGACCATATTCCATATTCACCTGCAAAGGAAGTGGGTCAAACCACAAGAATTCACAATTTTAAGGTAAGAAAAACAAGTTAACAATGTTGGATTTTAACTATGACTCCATCGCAACAGCAAAAATGATTAAGAGGAAAAAAAAAAAAAAAAACAAAACAAAAAAGACCTTGGCAGCACATTTCTTGAGTATGCCAAAGGCACGAATAATCGGTTCTGGCATCCTCTCTCGGTCGCCTCCAATTTCAAAGTTCTGCAACGATCTCTGAGTTTGTGCTCCCCATAACCTTTACAA